CTCAACCTTGGGCACATCTGTGACACCCCACCCAGTGCTTCTCCAGGAGCTCTGCCACTGTTTGGGGTTTGAACTGGGCTGGGCAGTGTCCACCTCTAGAAATCGGGCCAGGCCAGCAAGGCAGTCTCTCCTACACATTTGTTCCTTTCTTCATCCAACAAACATGTATTGAGAACCTACTTCAGGAAGTTGCTGAGCAGCCTCCTCCCCCAAGAGCCTCTTCTTAGAGGAAATCAGGATCTCCTAGAATGTTTTCCAGAATGGTCCTTTCTTACATCTCAACTTTTACACTAGACCAATACCCGTAAGAGAAGAATTTGCTGGAAATAAGGACTGTGGTCCAGGGAGAGACTCCTGTACAGGCTACAAATGTTATGGACCCTGCCTCGCAAATACCCAATATCCCAGTTCCCTTTCCTCAGGAGCCCAGATCTCCCACATCTGGCAGGTTACAAAAAAATAACAATGGTCACCACATACTGGACAGTTACCGTGTGCCAAGTATATGATGCTAACTTTTTATGAATGAGTTTTAATTCTCAAGATACCTCTGGAGAAATTGACCTCCTTTCCAGATTAGGAAACTCAGGTTTGGAATGTTTAAGTAAACTGACTAGTCACACAGCAGATAAGCAGCAGGGCCTAGATTCAAATCCAAGCTTGCCTACCTGGAGTGGAGGGCAGAGGCAACATTTGGAAAACATACTCGCAGTGGGAGCCAGGCTAGGCCAGGCCAGCATCCATCCTTTCCAGAGGCCTGGGCCACGTGGTGCCCTCTGCTGGCCTTGGACCCACCCTGCATCAGCTCTGTGGTGGCCACATTTCCAGCACCCCCAAGGGACTCCTCTTGTACTTCACACATTCCCCCTCCTCCCCACAGTGTGGCTCAGGATAGCCATACACTGAGAAGGCATTTCTCAGGGCTTAGCCACAATCTCTTCCTGGCCCTTGCTGTCTTACTGCCCTCTGTAAGGTGTGTGTGTACGCGTGTGTGTGCAAGGGGTACGGGAGGGGGCGTGGCTTCTGAGGGGCTAGGTGTAGTGACAGCCCAGCCTTTCAGGATTCTTGGTTGCTGACCAAGGCTGGGGGCTTGGTGCAGGCAAGCATGGCCCCCACTCAGACACAGCCCCCCTCTTCTCTCAGTCTCTTTCCCCCCAAAGCCCAGCAGGAGGAATCTTTTAGAACTTGGTTCCAGGGCTCTCAACTGTCCTTCAGATTGGACCACAGGAACTAAGCTACAACCTACTGGGGTCCTGGCTTCACTCCTCCAGGTCCCTGTGCCTGGCTCTTGGGTGGGGTCCACTCCTGGTCCAGATAGCATCTAGTCCCTTACCCACTCCAAATCCACCTGCAGGAGTGACCAGCAGGTAGAGGGCTGGGACGCAAGGGTCTAGAGATAAGACAGGGAGGGCCAGGACAGGAAAGAGGTCAATTGCAGCCATCAGAGCTCTGAGTCTGAGTAGGAGTCTTGGGTCAGAAATCATCTCAGAGGGAGCCGGGGCAATGAGCAGGTTTTAAGGGAGTGTGTGAGAAATGAAGTCAAACCCACTGACACTCCTTTGATTATCTCATCTAGTCCTGAGGCTTTAAATTCCATCTAATCGCTGATGACTCCCACATTTTGTCTCCTGCCCTAACCTTGCTGAACTGTGGACTTGTATATCCACCTGCTGGCCTAATACCTCCCATGGATACCCAACAGGCATCTCAAACTAAACAGGTCAAAAAGTCATTCCTGATTTCTACCTTGAAGCCGGCTCCTCACAATCAGTCCTCTTAGGTAACAGCAACTCATCCATCTGGTAAGTAGATTCTAGCTGTTCATGCCCTAATCTCAGGAGTCACAGTCTACATCTACTAGCAAATACTGTTGGCTCAGCTTTCAAAATGTTTTGATGTAACCACTTCTCACTACCTCCACTGACAGAGGGCCTCCCTGCTTCACAGCACTTGTCTACCCGAACCAGAATGTCAGTTCTTTGGAGTAGGTGGTTTTGTCTTTTTTGGTTACTGCTGTTATCTCCAGTACCTAGAAGAGTGCCCAGCACATAAGTAATGCTCAATAAACAAATGAGTAATAAAATACAAAGGGGCAAGGACAACAGAGTTCTCCCAGACTGGGCTGGGCAGTAACTGGGAAACCCATATTCTCATAGCTCTTCCCCCGCCAGACACAGAGAAACCACCTTTGGAAAGGAATATTCCTCGCAGAGGTGCTGATCTCCTTTCAGTGTTTCGAGTATACTACCCTCTCCCATCTTTCCGCAGGCCCTTTTGTTGTCCCCATCTCATCGCTCCATTCTTAAGGTCTCAGCTTAAGTGTCAATTCCTCAGAGAAGCTTCCCAGATCCCCTTGGACTAAGTTAAAGTTGTTTACTACATGCTCCCCAGCACCTGCACCTCCATTTTCATATGCATCATGACACTTGTTCACAAACTGAGTACTAGGCCAGCTTGTCCTTGAAGGCCTCATCTGGATGGCTGAAGATTAAATGAGGTAGTTCATATAAACGGTTTAATAGGAGTTGGTCAATAACAGTCAGCCAATATTACCATAATTATAGTGAACAAACATTTGTTGTTGGTGACAGAAAAGCAGCATACTAAAAATATTTAAGCCAGAAATCACAGCTCTGGATAAACCCTGGGAAATGCTGGGGAACCATGGCCCACCTTTTGAATATTACTGTTCTAGATCATTTCGACTCCCTCAAATTCTAATGGGCTTTGTCAACACAGCCCTGGCTAGATCTGGCTCAATCTCACAGACTGGGTAGACGGGGCACTTGCAACCCCTTCAGGCCATCCCCTAATATCCTTATGCAAAGTTTGCTCCGAGCAGTGTCTACAACCCTGCGAGTATGTTAGAAATGCAGGATCTTGCCTTCTTCCCCAAGATCTATTAAATCAGAATTTGTATTTTAACACATCCCAGTTTGGGAAGCACTTCCCCAGATCACAGCATCTCAGAACTAAGGGCTAAAAAAAATCCCAGTATTTAAAAAACCCCATAAATTGCCAAGTCCTGGTTTCTAAACCAGTACAAGCTCATTTTACAGAGGAGTCATCTGAAACCCATCAGTCAGTTACACTAGCCTGTCAGAGTCCATTCTCTGGACACCTTGACCCCCAAACTCACACACACTCTTCCGTCTCAGAGAAGTCTCATCTATTCCTTGCTCCACTCCCATTTGAAATAGAGGGCTGCCCTAAGAGCCCCCAGTGCCTGCTCTCTTGGCCCTCAGACAGGGCTGGACACGAGGTGGTGTCTGGGAAAGTGGCCGGGTCACAGCATACAGTTGAGGGAGGGGCCTTCTCAAGAACAGGGTGGAAGGCACCCAGGTACAACCTGAGCTGGGTCAGGGAGGTGGCTTGAGAGGACCTGTTTGCTCTGCCAGAAGGGCTGGGCCCGGACCACTTCACCTGCCTCCCCTGCCCTTCATCTCTCAGACAAAAGCTCAGCTGAGAGCCCTCTCCCTGTCACCTAGCCCCGTGGGAATGGCTCGGGCCATAAGCTACCATCAAACCTGCTCTCTTCTCCCAGGGCCTGGTGACTTCTTGACAGGTTACAGCCCCAAAGATAAACAGATCTGCCAAGCAAATAACTGTCCAGAGCAGGGGTGTTAGGGAAGGCCTGGAAGTGGGTCTGAGCTGCCAGAAGATCCAGGTGATGAGGTGGGTGAACGGGGGGTGGGGTGGGGGGTGGGGAGGCACCCCTCTCCTGCAGAGAACAAACAACCCCAGGCACCTAAAAGCAGGATGTAGGTGCACTGTCACAGTACGAGGGACACGGGGGCAAGGGCACTCACCTCAGAGATCTCGGCCAGTCTCCCAGCTCCTCACCCTGGGTTCTGTTTTCAGGCTATACAGAGAAAAAGTCTTGCCTTCAGGCTCTTGGGGGAGAGATGAGTTCTTTTGTGGTGCCTCCATGTCTCTTACACAATTTGTGGCCACAGGTCTCCTCACTGACCTGCCTACAGGAAGATGGCCAGGGGATCCCTTCCCCCAACTCCCACCTGCTAGATATATGGCTCATATCCAGTCCCACCATCATTTAGAACACACAGCTTTGCCAGGCAGGGTGAAGATCCATTTGGGGATCTGCAATTTAAGTGAGAACAATGCCAGCACCTGGGAGTCGAGGGCATAAATCTATAAGATCCAAGCAACTCCCTTCTCTCTGATCTCTTTCCTGTCAATGTAGAGGTATGGTGATGTGACTGGAGACAATCTTGGAGTTCTGAGCTCTTAGAGTGCTACATACATAAAGGAATGGATGCAGTGAACCCACCACTGGCCATCATATTTGCCAATTAAGTTTCTTTCATGCTATCTGACCACTGTATAACTCACCATCCCATCTCTTAGCCACAATCACAGGCCTGTCTCACATAAGTACATAGGGTAGGTTCCAAGTTTGTTTGCCGATTGCCTGGATTGTGGTCCCTACCTGACTCTGGATCCATAATATACCCAAAGGAGTGCCTAAAGCTCCCAGGAACTATAGCCAACCACCATGGGAAACACATAAAGGAAGATGCACTCCTTCTTCTAGATCTAGGATGTCGGGGCCCAGGTGGGACTGAGCAGGACTCCCCTAACTCAGCCTTGTCTGCTTACCCAGTAAGAAAGATGCCTATGATGCTCTGTACTCTTCCTGTGCTACGTGCCTGACCCACAGTAAATGCCCAGACAGTGCTTGCTGGCTGATCAGCACTAATCTGGCTATTATTTCTTATGTACTAGGATAGAGCTGTGGTCAACAAATGCCACTGGAAGTAGTTTCCTCACCTTTCTGGTCATTAGGAACCAGGAAGGGCAGCAAATAAATATAATCCCAGGGCTGTTTTCCCAAACATATAATGAACCTCGGGTCTCAGTTTTCCCATGTGAAAAAGGGAGAGAACCAGACACCAAAAAGTACACATCATAGCCATCACAGGGACAAGCAGATACAGGGGGCTTGAGGACGCAATAAAACTCACCAACACACATGAAAATAGTTTTTGTGTGTGTGTGTTAATTTAATCATACAAATATTCATTTATACAGTAAGGAAAAACCTCCTCATCTTCATCTCTCAGGCACCATGAGACCCCACCACAAACACCCACCCAGCTCGCTTACTACACACCATTGTTCAGGTGGAGGGGGCAGCCATTGCTGCTCCAGCATTCACCCAAGGAAACAAAGGAAAGGCAAGGCAGGGTGGAGTGGGGAATCATCTTGCTTTTCTGAGCCTTGGCAACCCCACCATCCTCTCCTGCTGGGGCCCAGATTGAATTTGGGGAGGTGTTTATTCTCACGCCCACTTCCCACCTTGGCCACCCTCAGGCCACCAGCTGTCTTGGTGAGGTTCTTTTTAGGCTAGAAATGCCTTTGATGGGCTTCAGGTTACAGGCAGTCCTTACTGAGGGAGAGAAGGCTGTTTCCTGTAGAAAAATGCCCCAAATTCAACTGTCCCCATGACAAAAAGAAAAAAAAAAAAGGCATGCACACGTGCACACACATCCACACACACCTCACTCCATGCACACAAATTGGTTCTCCCCAAACCTAAGCCTCTCTGCCTCCCACACTGGACTCAGGACACTAAGGATGGTGCCTCCCTCACCGACGTTAGTAGTCCTGCCCAGAGGCAGCCTGCTGGTTGGTGACGAGGAACAGAGGCTACTGGGGCTAAGAGGGTAGCATCTACCACCCCACTGGCGGGGAAGGAAAGGGGCTCTAGGCATTGTTCAGAACCCAAACCAGTGAGAGGCAGAATGAGTGGTATTGACAGGCCCCTGGTCCTGGGGGAGCCATAGATTCCCTGCCCCTACTCCATGGCTGGTACTTGCTTGGGCTTCTGCTGGGACCTCACTTCTCCAAGAATGGGTACAAAAATGGTTTGTTCTTGAGAGGGAAGCCAACGTGCTTGGGATACTTACCTTGCCAGGTCAGGCTACCTACAATCAAGAAGAGCAGGATGCCTCTGACAGGGCCTCTGAAGCCCCTGCCGAGTAACGGCAGGCAGCCCTCCTAGGACACAGGGAAGGAGCACCTAGAGTGGGGAAGATGAGGAAGCCAGGAAACCAGGGGATGGAAAGCCTCTCATGATGCTGCCAGGGGCAGCTTGAGACGTGCTGCTTTGAGGGCTAGTAAGGAGAATGCTGGGCATGGGTGGGCTCCAGGGTGGCGGTGTCCCAGGAGGTTGGCATCAACAGTAGAGGCAGTCTGGGCCTAACAGGGCCCTCAGACAAAAAGCCATCGTGAGCCCCTAGCTTGAGCACCCGACAGGGACTCCTCTCTGCTCTGCTTAGGAATGGGGCACTCTTCATGTGCATAGAAAGTAGGTGCTCCAGTGTGAGCCCTTGTTCAGCCCCAGACCTAGCTGTACTGCCCTGGTCAGCAGGCTGGCTCTGTTCTCCCCCAGGGCTTCTCCAGCAGACCAAAATTTATTCTCCCTTTTATTTTTTGGGAGGTGGGGAGGCAAAGGGGTAATTTCATACAAGCTTTTCTCCCACAATCAAGCTTTGAAAAACAACAGTCTCAGAAGAGGATGAGGAGGAACAAACAATACACATTTTTGGAACTCAGACACCCAGACAGAGACAGACAGGCAGGCAGACCCTCACCCACACACAGGCTATATAACCCATTGCAGCCGCTCATCACATGGTCTCCCTGCTTGTCTCACACACCCAGGATGGGTGCGGGTGTGGTAAGAGGTGGGAAACCGCACCTTAGATCCATATCCCCTGCTATCAAACCAACCAAGACTCGAGGGAAGGAGGGGGTGAGAAGAGAAGAGGGACTTTGCATATTCTTGTATCTTTGGCAGACAGCTGTTCTAGCCTGGTTCAAGCTTCCCATAGAGATATCATATCTCAACCTGTTTGGAATCCACAAGATGCCACTGGGGCCACCTGCCCAAGCGAGCAGCCAGCCAATCAGTCTCTGCTCTGGCTGGGCTGCCCCTCCCCCACCATCTCCCAATATCTAGGCATCCTACTCAGGGTGGGGCGGGGTCCTTTCATTTCCATCAAAATGTAGGTCTCCAAGGTCACATAGTAGCTGTGGCCCTTCCCCATGGCAAATTTCCCATTTGTGGCTATATTTTCAAACCTTAACAGCTCAGCATCCACTAACAGGCTGTGAAACCACCACAAAAAAACAACTGAGAGGAAACGCAGGGAAGGGAGTTGTGTGACAACAGAGAAGTATGGGACACCTTCACACTTGCCTGCTGCACACTCGCTGGTGAGCTGCACAAAGACCCGTGTGTGTGCATGTAGCACACGCATATACGAAGCACAGAGGCACTGTTACCAGAGTGATTGGGGAGCCACTGTGTATGAAGAATCCAGTAAGCATGATGGCATTTCTGCCAAGAGAAACATGGAAGAAAAGCAATTTGAATTGTTACAAGTGTGTGCAGAAGGACACCTGTCGGCCTCAGAAACTCCCACGTCACCCCAGATCTGTCCTCAAGGCTTCCTCTGCTGGCCACACAGGGAAGTTTGGTCTTCAGAGATGTTCTGATGGTAACAAACCACAGGGTTGACAAATACAAATGTCAAAGGTGTAAATCAACAGATTAAAGAGAAAAGAAGAGGAAAAATGTGATAACTCATTGGCTAATGCCATTAAAAACAAATGGGGTCAGAGACTTCTGGAGTCAGGTGGCACGGCAGATGTCCTCCTATTGCAGCACTGACCCGCAGAGTCTCCAAACATGCCACGCCAGCTTTTAACCTGAATCACTTCCAGAGCAAGCAGCTATTCTATAAAGAGTACGTTATCCCTTACCTAAAAAAATAAAAGTGGGGAAAAAGGGAGAAAAACTAACATGTGCTCAAAACTACAACCTGTCTGTAGGCAAAATAATTTTTGTTTAAAAAGATGGCTTTTTTCCCCCCATTTTAAACTTTTTTTCCCTTCCCGAGTGACCTAATGACTTGTTAGACTGACGCCTAATAAAAACCGAAGGTGGCTGCATGGATTTCTTCCTGGTAGCCTCCACACCATTCCAGTGATTCAGCATTCACACATGCATACCGAGTTTACTCAAAACTAGTCTGTTCTGCTTCTTCCTCTTCTTCCAGGATGGGGAGGGGGTCAGAGCCAAGGGTCCGTGCGATGTGGTCTGCAATCCAGAGGAACCCCTTGCCCTCCCCCCACCAAAGTCAGGCCTTCTGTCCTTTGTTAATTTTTCTTCTTGCTGACACCCGTTTAAGACTGGCCGAAGGGGTAAGGCCCGTGGAGCCCCTGGAAGAGAGTGAACACAATCAGTGATGGCAGACACAGCAGGTACAAGTTGACAACCAAAATCAAGTTTAAAAATCTATGGTTCCCAGTGAGTCCCAAGGAAGCCCAAGGCACAGATAAGGCTTGAAGGTTATCCTTGCCATGCAAAACCTCAGGAGGCCAAATATCAGCACATTTTAAGTTGCTAAGTGTTCTCACTCAACCGCACCATCCAAGCGGGGTGGGGGCTGGAGAAGAGACTCATCTTTCAACTTTTAAATCAATCAGTGCCTTCTTGACAAAGATGTCTCAAACTCTCTGCTAAAAATCCTTGTATACCATTTTCTGCACTTTTAACTTCCAAGATGGTTACTGCTGGTTAATGACACTTATATCAACAACAAAACACTTCAGCAAAAAGGTGACTGTCTACCAGGCACCCAGGTACCAGGCATGGTACTAGGAACTTGTGTACATTGTCTTTAAATCATCATCCTGAAAGCCAAATGGGTATTATCACACCCATCTGCCAAATGCCCATTTAACTGCAGAGACTAAGAGAGTTCAAAACACACATGTAGTGAAAGGTAGAGCTAAGATTCAAACCCAAGTCTAATCTTTGTTCTTCCCACATTGCCTTGTCCGTTACCACATGATGAATAGGTTTATCCCTAATTCCCAAAGGCATTTTCTGTGGTGCGTGGCTGGGTGGAAAAGGCATCATAGTCTCGCTTTTCCCTTAAGTTAAGAATGAGACTCCAAGATGTGCTAATGCAAAAAGCAGCTGCATGGACTCAGTGTAGGATGATCTGTGCCTCCCTCTACTCCCACTCCTAGAGTATGCTGCTTGCAAAGACCTAAGAGGGCAAAGGTAACTGGTGACTAGCCTCAGTAGGGTCCTATACCCCAAAGTGGCCCAGAAGCAGCAGGGCTATTGGACCAAAGGGACCGAATAGGCACAGAGAACAGATACTTCACTCATAACCACAACAAATGAGCAGAGAAGGGGTTTCCTAATATCTGAAGAATCCTAAGAACACTAAGAATCCTAAATCTAGGCACAACCTGGGGTGAGGAGGCACAAGAATGACTGAGATGACGTTTTCCATTAGCTTCATGGGATGTAGGCAGTCAAAATTTGATTGCCTTAAAATAATTACACATTTTTTAAAAAAGAAATCAAGGTGCTCGGTTGCAGGGTTGCCAGTGATTAAAATTCCTTTTCAATATAACTTTGCTGCCATCTCCCCAGCACCTAGCATGTCACCTGGCCCTTAGTATGTACCCAAAAAGTATTTGCTGAATTAATAATGGAAAGAGGACACATATTTCTCAGACTCCTACCTAGTGTCAGATCCCTCTAGGTCACAAGAATATTAATCCTTGCAGAACCAAGTTTTTAAACAGCTGCTTAGGCCTGGAGACACAAGTGTCTAGGTCATGCCATCCATCTGGTCACAGCCACCCATGTCCCGGGAGAGGCTGGGCTCTCTGGAGGTGGTTAGCTGGAGATGCACAACCCTCACAGTTTCCACTGCAGTGGGATGCAGGTTGTGCAGAACTAGGAGAAGGAGATCTGGGTTCTGTTCCCGACTCTGCACCAGCTCACCAAGTGACCTTGAGTAAGGTCCCTTCCCCTCACAGGATCTCAGATTCCTCTTTAAATCTTTCCAGATTTAAGGTTCAAGGAGTCAACACAAAATGCTTTGGCTCTGGAGGCTGAAAAAAATGCCCTTTGGTCATGTTTAGGCAAGAGGTCAAAGCTGCCAAAACAGGGAACATGAGCATAAAGTTTCCATATATTTTTCAGTGAAAATCACTGAAATTGCTTTTGCTCTTTTTCCCTACTACATAAAGCCACAAAAGACCAGTTAGAGAGCTGCTTGGTAGTATAACTGAACAAAAGAGCCTAAGAAGGTGAATTTGGGGGATGGGCAGGCAAACACTGATGGAGCAGCAACTATGTGCCAGGTGCTGCTCTAGGACTTTAACATGTTCTCTTTAATGTCCACAGATATACTGAGACAATATGATCTCCAAGCTCAGAAAGGTGAAGTAACCTGATTAAGGACACAGAGCTAATAAGTAGAACAGTGGTGTTTAACATGTCGAAATGCCACGTCTGCCAGTCCTCATGCCAATCATGCCACCAACAGGCAAGCTAAGGCTGTAACCATCTCAGTAGTCTTGGCACCTACCCACTGAACCAAGTGGGGGATGGGGTAGCAAAGAGCTCTCAGACTCTACTTTTCAGGGCCTGGTTGAGGGTCACACGCCCCACAGTAGAAAGTAAAGCAGCTTAAAACAAGCTGCTTTCAGTAAGTTCCAACAACATTCACTCATCTAGAACAACCCAAGGAAAAAAATAAAGACTTAGATTCCTGTAAGATTTAAAATCAATACAATGCTCAAAGGTCTCTGCACAGGGGGGGGAAAAAAAAAAAAGGCATAGAAAAAAGAAAACCCTAAAAGAAATATTTCCCTAAATTTAATTGCTTTCCAGACCAAAGCTCCACATACTTCACCTGGGCCTTTATAAAGCCAGCACTACTAGCCTTGTGACTCATCTGGAGTGCTTGGAGAAGGGAGTTCATGACTTCGCCAAGGAGCTGTTGAACATGCCCATTTTACAGATAAATAAAATAGGTCCTATGCAATTGGCAGAGAGGGGAAATAAAGACACGGGCACTTTCAGATTTTCACTTGAGTGCCCTAGCCCTTAGACCATTCAGTGTGGTATTTAACTAGCTTAGATTACAGAGTTATCGTTGATACTCTATTTATTGAGTGAGGTTCGTGCCTTTTGGAAAGAAAAATGCTACCTAATTCTCTTTTGCCCAAAGAATGGCATATTGGAGTTGTTGATGTTTAATTGGTACAAAAGAGTGGCTTGCGAACGAGCTCTATTTTCTTTCCTCACAAATTAACTACCATCACTTCAAGAAAGGGAGAGAAAGCCAATTCTATTTCAAAACCACTTTATCATCTAGACTCCCCACGTGTAGGATTATAGGTGTCACAAGTGGATCACAGAGCACGAGCAATGCAAAACCAGTTGTAAAGGAAAAGCCTGGCAGGGATTCCAAGAACAGCTTGTCCAGGGTGACTTACGGCAGGAGGCCAAGCGGGAAGTGCCTTTCCTAACAGTGGGATGGACGTACATTTGAAACAGGAGGCCCATCCACATTTCAGGTTCCACTGGAGTTTCAGGACCCAGTGAAACAGGTTCTGGTGGCTAATGTCTCCAACCCCAGCCTAAAAGTAAAGGTGACTATACAGATAATGTTTAGTCTCTTGTGGGGCCTAGAAATTCTTCAACTTTTATCGATAGGAAAAGCAAATGCCAAATATTTTAACTAACCTGGCATCACCAATATCACTTCTTTAACAGTTGTACCACTACTAATAAGGAAAACAGATCAAGGGATAGATGCATCAGATGGTACTACAGAACTCTGAATTAAACTCTGACTCAGGCGAAAACTGAATACGGCCATGAGCATGATTACAAAATTCGGTGAGTTTAATGTAGAAAGCCACCTTACTCTTTATGAGGAATCACTTCTCACCACATAGGTAGCACTAACAGCATGCTTAGATATATCCATGCATGCTGATGGAGTATGGATACTCTATTGAATGCTAATGAACAATCAAACCCAGGAACAAATGTCTTTATCTGACTCCAGGTCTGAAGGTCAGTTCCCCAGGGCCTACCCAACTTAGACAAAAATGGGTTTTCAAAGGCTACATTTCTTGGAACAGTCTCATATCTGCTAGGGGACAAGAAAGTGTTCCTGGTGAAGTAGAGACAGCTTTTAGGTTCAAAGAGGTTGAAGTGTTTGTTGCCCGTTTGCCTCAATCTTCCTTATGCTTTCCACTGAACAGCTGTTGTAGCTATGAGCCCTCAGACCTAAGCTCTACCTGGCTACATGGCAAGTGAGCCCTCTTAAAGCACAGACGCTCCATCCTTGCCAGGTAAAACAAAGGGGCCTGCCTCCCTGCTTGTTGGTGTCTGGGAAGAGACCAAGGCCTCAAACAGGGTGAAAGATTATAATCATTGGGCCAGGTTCCGAACTGCACTACCATGATGGAATAACTACTGTAAGCTGTAATGTAGCTAATTTTCTAAAATATTTTTAAAAGAGAACACTTCTAGACATAAAAGAAAAGCTCAGTCTCATTCATCACAATCTCCTGAAAGTACAATTTAAGATCCAATACTTATGATTCTGCTCTCAAAGCAAAGCTAAAAAAAACACACAACTCTCTGATTTGTTTTTTTCACAATAGTTTATAGTTGCCCCTGTGGAATAGCAGAGATACTTTCAGCCAGTGATTTGGTTATCGATCATCTTATGTGAGTGTGCACCTGCAGTACCTTAAAGTTCTTCCTAAAATTATACAGAAATCAAAATAACTTTTCCAAAAAGAAGTACTAAAAAAACTGCCACAGAGAGAAAACTAACTGTATGCTAAAGTACCAAAAACCAGAAAACTAGTTGTTTCAGCTAGATTTTTTTAAGTGTATTCATCAATTTTTAGCAGTAGAAAGTATAGTGCTATTGAAGAGCAAGATGCCCTTTTATGAGGGTGTAATCTGTTTATGCCAAGTCTTTGTGCTTTGCACCCAGTAAGACTCAAATATCAGTAAACTGAATGAATGAACTGTGAAATACTTTCCATTAGTGAGCCATCTCTGTTTTTAATTTTCTAGGGGAAAAAAAAGAAGGCTAAAATTACTAAAGAAAGATGTCTCACAAGGGCTTTCTGGGTTGCTCTTTTTCTCTGTGAAAACTTGTTACTTAGAGAATGCACCACAACATGAAACTTTCACATACCTGTCTTTATTTTGCTTTTATTTGTGATTTGAATTAAATAAATAAAAAGTTCACACAGGTTAACAAAAAGACAGGAGCGTTTGCTGCTTGTCTGTGAAATAACATGCTCTCCCAGTGTATGTATACTGATGGCAGCATCAGACAACACCACGAGGGCCCTCCTCTTCCTTCTCACTTCCT